CATATGGGACCAGTATATGCTCAAAGAAATCAATTTCATAGTACTCCACAAATAAACCTGGATAAAAATAGTGTTTAACACTATATATTAAGTTTTGTTGTCATGCCATGGCCCAAAAAGCTTGGAGAGTTCCCATAAAAATCTTTACATGATGTTGGTTGAACTCTCTGACAAATTGCTGCAGACTTGAAATGCTCCCCAAACACTGTCAAATACACCCTAGATCGTGAGACTGGTAAATTTGAAAATAGGAAAAGAAGAGGCACAACAACTAAACTCAACGATACTGATGTTAAGTATCTTCGTTTATGCAGCCTTTGGGAGAGAAGGAAGACTGTCATTGATCTCATGCATGAGATAAACGTCCATGTACCAAATGACAAAAAAGTGCCCAGATCTACAATATCAAGAAGACTAAACGAGAATGGAATATTTGGTTCTGTAGCAGTTAAAAAACCTTTACTTTGATCTCCAAATATTGTCAAGAGACTTAAATTTGCTAAAAAGTGCAAAAACTGGACTGTTGATGGTTGGAAAGTGGTGTTATGGACGGATGAGTCCAAGTTTGAAATATTTGGTTCAAAGCATAGGTTGTACGTCCGGCAGAAGAAAGTTGAAAGATACTTACTTCAATGCATAGCATTTACCATGAAGCATAGGGGAGGCAGTGTGATGATTTGGGGGTGTTTTTCTGCTGAGGAGACAGGAGATATTTGTAAAATAGATGGAATAATGGACCAGCGCAAGTACCATCAGATACTGATTCATCATGGTATAATATCAGTAAAGCATTCTACTATCAAGAATATAATGACCCCAAACACTCATCCAACCTATGCAGAAATTACTTAGCTAAGAAAGAAGCTACTGGAGTCATTCAAATGAAGCAGTGGCCCCCACAGAGCCCCAATCTCAACCCAATTGAGCACATCTTGGATTTAATAGATCAAAAAACATGACAAATCAAAAGTTACTTCCAAATAAAATTTATGGGAGTGTATAAGAGACATTTGGAGTAAAAACCCAAAGAACTTTGACCAAATATCTTGCAACAATGCATGAAAGACTGTCTGCACTTATTAAAGCAAAAGGCAGGACACAATAATATTAATTGTTTGCTGAACTCAAGCACTTCCACTGAGTTTCTGTTGTACTAAATATGAACATTAATAAAATTATGATGTTTCACCTGTGATTTACCTTCCATTGTTCTTTGTAAATACCCTGAAATCTAATTTTTGACTTTGTCCTAACATTTTTGCACAGTACTGTATATGGAATAAACTAACTATAAAGATAATCCATTATGTGTGTATGTGTATGTATGTGTGCATTAACCTCCATACCCCAGAGTTGGCTGGTTCAATTACCATAATATTCTGTGTGAAACTGGAAACTGTTAATAGTTTACATGGGCTATTTTACTTTAAGATTCTTGGAAAAGAAAGGAAATATAAAAAAAACCTGGAAAAGGACACATTTCCACTTTGTTTTATAGACTTTTGACTTCCATCACTCACAGCTGGCTGACTTATTTACTTTAATTTTTTGTATGATAACTGGAAACTATCCAACACTGTGCATGAACTGTTTTGTTTTAGAATTTTGCTGAAATAGGGCATATTTCCAATTTTTTGTAGACTTTTGGCTTTGAATTTAAAGACACAAGAACTTAATCAGTTAAATAATTCAATTACTATCTTCCACAAAGAAGATTGTGCAATTAATATCTAATGAGATCATTTAGGATCTAACAACAAAAGAAAGAAGGGGAACATTATTATCTAACATTGTCCTTTATACAATTTTTGCTTCCTTTACTGATACTCTCAGTTAGTATAAAACTTAAAACTTACCTTTCCAAGCTTTAGTGATTTAATATTATCAAAACACTTTTTCAAATGAGGTTGGATAGCTTGAGGGTCTTTAAACTGGCCCAGAATTTCAAGCAGGTCATCATTAGATAAGAAATAAAACCGTGGAAACAGCTGGCGTTTTGTTTCTAAATACATGTCTAGAGAGTGCTGGATTTCTTCTAGTTTCTGACTTGTATTATTCAAAAAACTTAGAAGATCTAAAGAGATTAAAATTAAAAGTAATAGTATGTTGAATCGTATGTTCAGAAAACAAGTTGGAACTCTACTAAAAAAAATACATGTAGAAAACCTCAAATGAATTCTACATTATAATTTTGTAAATGTATCCAACCTAAAACACTGTATCTCTCAAAACTATTTAAGACAGAATAAATAATGTTAATGTTGTAAACTTAAGAGCAAACCTATAAATCTTTCAGAGTTTTTTTTAGTTAAGTTTACCAACAGATTGGAAAAAATACATTTGGCCATTTATTTAAAGTACACATATTTTATTAAAAATGGTCCACTGAAAAGTTTTGAGGGCAATAATTTGTACCTGGGTAATGAGTGGCCATGAGTGCATTATTTTCTTTATGTAGCATTGAAGTGAGCCACTGCCACTTTCTATTCACTTCATCAAATTGAGCAGATTCTTCAGGAAGCTGTTTACGAATGTCTTCTCCTAAAAAAATGTTCTGAAATGATACAAGTATTATATATATCATAAATGCTTGAAATCATTAAGAGAAAGAAATCAAAAATGGTATATAACCAAAATTTTACTACAATGGATGGAAAACTATGTCTGTGTGTCTAGTTTTCTATGTAAAATCACTGACACAACTAAAATAGCTACAGCATTTGATAAAGTATTGATGAAAAAATAATTTTCCCTAAATTTCTCATCAAAAGTTGAATTTCAAAACTAGATTTTTCCAGTTCAGTTAAAGTAGCCAATTTCAATACACCATGTTAGAAGCCAAGCCTTTCGCACTGCAGTTCTTGTTTCAAAATGCTGCATTATAGGTCCAGCCCTTCCATCCACAAAAATAAATAACATTTCCTAATCCACACACATAAGAAGAAATAAATAAATATAAATCAGCATTTAACAAAAAGAAATGAAAACAAGATTATCTTACTTCCAGATACATCCAATGTCTTTGAACATTTAATATGACTTCTAAAACTTCTTGAACTAATGACAATGACTTTTCCCATTTGTCAATGTCTTTTTCAAAAGCTTTGAAGTATCTAGAAGCTTTCATACCAGACAGCAACAGAAGGTTGTCCTCTATGGTCTGGAAAATATTGTCTACACCGAACAGACGAAAATGACCATGATCTTTGTAATGGACCATGTTGAGTGTCACAACTTCCCAAGTAGCCTTGATCTGCTCTATATTCTGAAACATCATAAGATGTTAAAACCTATAAATATTTATTACTTTTATAACAAATTATATCAGATTAGTTATTATATGTTTACCCAAAGAATTTAATCTTTAGTTAACAAATATTTAAAATAACAAAAGATATATACAACATTATCATATTAATTTGTTCACAAAAATTACATACATACATATATATATAAATATGCGTTCAGATCTTTATTTGCATTTTACAAATCTTCATTTTAATATTTTTGATAACTGTTAATTCATATAATTGATAAACTCTGATGAAAAGTTTAAGTTTTGGGAGTTAAAAAATTTCCTTCTATAATTAAAATCTCAAACTTTATAAAACAATGGAAGTAAATAAATCGCACATTTTCAATTTCCAATTCTTTTGTGGCAGTAACAGATATCGCTTCAATCTGGTCAGCATATTTCTCTACTCCAATTTGAATGATATATTCCATTGTAAAGTCTGAAGACTTAGGATCAAAATCTTCCTGTAACACTTTCCTAATTTGATCCCAGTTACGTGTTCGTAATGCTGTATTTCTCAAGTGCTTAACAACTGGCAAAGAGAGCTGAAACTGCTCTAACTTGTTCTTCATGAATCCAACTACTTCCCATTGACTGGCCTGCAAATATTTCAACATCAGAAATGCCCCTTTAATATTTCCATAAACTTAACGAAATTCTAACAATGATTTGAAGTAAACAGAAAATCACTTTAAAAGGTTAATAAACAGCAAGTAAAGAGACTTCTCTGCTTCCACAAATAAAGATACAAAACAATTTTTATGTAAAAAGTATTTCTGCACAGTATCTCTAATAAAAATAAGCATTTTCTTTCAACACGTATTCAGCAAGATTTATAATTACAATTGAAAGTTATAATTTTCCTATACCGAAAATATATTTCTGATAGGTAGTTACTTCCTTTCACATAAATAGTTATTTTCATTCAGTGCTGCCCTCTATATGAAAAAAAACTTTTTGCATGCCACAACCCTTGAGCTCCCTTGTACCTTACAATCAATTGGTTCAAATGTATCTCGTCTGTAAATCATCATCAGATAATCCTCCACCAATAAGAGTGTGACACACTCTCCTGATGCATATCACTCCCTCTATTTGATTGTAATGAACAATCACTCTGAGTTTTGGTAGCAAAATGGAAGGACTGGTTTTTAGTTGGGAGAAAGGGTGGGATGTGTGAGAGGAGGTATGTACCTATTGGAAATTAATTTTCAGTATAGGAAAATTATAACTTCCAACAGGGTACATTATCTCCACTCACATAAATAGCTAGAATCCCACACTGAAGAGGTGGAGGAATCAGTGTAAGGGAACAACAAAGCAGTAATCCTTGAAGGCATCTGAAGAACACCCTAAAAGAATAGATCCTCACAGCAGAGGATTATACATGGGAGACTGCACCACATCTGTACCAGGTATACTATTCACCTAGTGTGGAATGATGTGTCACAGACATGGGCAGAAAAAAAAAGGAAGGAGCACATCCCTACAGGAAAAACAATGGTGAGATAGCAATCTGAACTACCATATAACAAATCTCAATACCATAAAGTACTGGAATGTGAGTGAAAGTAAAAGATGTAGAGTGGCTAAGGTGTAATGGACCATACACAGCAAGTCAATTACAAACAAAAACCCAGCCATCTGGTAGGGGGTAGGTAAGAGGATCATAACTTCTTCACCTCACATTCAGCAGACTGGAGAGAATTGCATACCCCCAATCTATGAATGGGACACATGATAGCAGTATGATAAATTGTTTGACCAATCTGGGAACCCAACATCCGGACAATTGATACAGGAAAGACGTTTCTGTAATGTAAACTATCTCATTCAAAACCAATCCAAGAGAAACTGCCCCTAGCACAATAATATCTGAATGCGTTTTTTTTTCATTATATTTATCATCTGTTATTATCACGTTCAGAAGGATGCCTCCATGGTCTACAACCCCAGTGGCTTGGAATGCAACAAGAGGGTAGGAGAGGTAAAAATATTACAGTACCTAGAAAAATGTAAAGGTGGGATAAGGCAGCCAAACAGCCCGGGATCCAGGAGAAATAAGATCGCTGATCAAACAGTCAAGTTAGGAAATCTGTGATATCAGGAACAGTGGGTTGAGCAGGGGAAAAACCCCAGACCCAAAGACCAATGGCAGAAAATGTTTCACCTGTGTTAATAAACATGCCTAGAGGAAGGGTGAATGGAACAAGCTAAAAAAGAAGCAACCCACCAATAAAAACTGGATCTCCTCTCCAAGGACCAGATAAAAACCAGATTTGAAGATGGAGGATGTGAAGGGCTGGATAAAATGCCGGTGACCTCGATTGACAAAGAAGGGATGAAGTAAGAGGTAACAGAGGGGCAGAATCGAGCTGGAGCAGCTACGGGAACCATGGTTGTGCTAGCCAGTATGGAGCAATCAGGACTTGACATGGAGTGGTGTGGATGATCGAGATCACACTGTGAAGAAAATATGTGGGAGGGAGATAAACATACAGAATTCTGTTGGTCCAATCTTGACTGAAAGCATCAATAACCAGAGCAAGAGAATGAGAAACTGGAGACCAAATCAATTGTAATTTGGTATTGAGGTATGTGTGGCAAATGCATCCAGGTTACATGTACTCCACTGAAGGCATAGCCACTGGAAAACATAGGATTGAGAGACCACTCCATCAGGATGGAAAAGACAATGCACAATAAGATTAAACACACCTGGAATGTGACACACAATGACATGAATACCGAGCATGTGAGCCCAAAAAAGGAGATCCAAGGTCTGACTACAAAAGGAATGAGGATGGGTGATTGACATAAGCCACCACTGTACAATTGCCAGAATGGATCATGACCAGCTTATTCCTGACAAGATGAAGAAAATGATCAAAGGCACAACATACAGCCAAAAGCTCCAGGATGTTGATATGGTAAGATCTATTGGCTGGAGACCACCAACCTAAACCTTCCTGCTGATCGACTCACATCCTCCAGCCCTGAAGGGTGAAGGGAAGCAACCGTGAAGATATGTAAGTCTGGACAAGGGAGAGGAATAAGAACCCTGCTGACATGTGAGCCTTGTCCAACTACCAATGCAGATCACCTAAAAGGAAAGGAGGAAGGGAAATAGGAGCCTTTGCGCAAGATTACATTGCTCGGGTAGAGTCCACTGAAGATACCTCATATGTTCTTGACCCAAATGAATAAAGGCCTCCATAATAAACCACATCCCCAAAAGTGATAGAACCTCACAAGCTGTAAGAGAGGGAGCAGTAAGGATGAGGAGAACTGAAAGTTCCATTGAACAAAGTCGAAGAGGAGAAGGTTGGACCCTACTAAGATGAGTGTTGAAAAAGACACCCAAATGGACAAGATATTGAGTAGGTAGGAATGACTTCTCCAATTTGATTAATCATGAGCTGCCTCCAGGAGCAGCAGATGAGTGTAATGGGCAGATTCCTGTTCAGAACGAGCTAACAGAAGCCAGTCAACCATGTAATGATGGAAAAGCAACACACGAGCATATATGTGATAAGCAAATGCCTTGACAACCCAACAAAAATAACTTGGGACAAGGCTCCATACCTCCCAAGGAGATCCTAACAACAGAGGAAACACGTGTGTGAGGCTGGAGCCAAATATTGTTTGTTTGTTTGTTTATTTTTGAATTTCGCACAAAGCTACACGAGGGGTATCTGCACTATCTGTCCCTAATTTAGCAGTGTAAGACTAGAGGGAAAGCAGCTAGTCATCATCACCAACCGCCAACTCTTGGGCTACTCTTTTACCAATAATTGGTGGGATTAACATTATAATGCCCCATGGCTGAAAGGGTGAGCATGTTTGGTGGGATGGGGATTCAAACTCGCAACCCTCAGATTGTGAGTCAAGCTCCCTAACCACCTGGCCATGCCAAGTCAGAGCCAAAGAAGATAAATGTGCTAATGTGAAAGTAATCAGGGTGAGGCACCCCCCCCCCCCAAACCCCTCAGGATGTCTGTGGATCACCTCGAAAAGGAGGCGCATGATAGACAAGTACCGTAGGAGAGTCAATAGGGTAAGATGAGGTGGAAAAACTGAGTGTGGGATAAATAAACAGGATGATCAGGGTCCATCTGCCCCTCCCACCCCATATAGGTAAAATCGATTCTAACTATTGGTAATCAAGAAAAGGACAGTTGGCCAGATGGTAGGCCAAGGTAAACTGATCCAAAGCCCATAGAGGGTGAGGCATGCTGGCACCCTCAACCATCTGAGAAACAAAACATGCAGCATGAACCCTAATATCTGAGGGGGGGAGGAAAACCATATTTTGAGAGGAAGAGGTATCATGTAACAAAGAAGGACAGGATCATACAGAATCAGGGAAATGGATAAAACAGAACATGCCTGAGAAATCATGTCTAAAAAGCTGTATTAGACATAGCTGATTTCACAGTAGGGAACAAAATTATGTGGAGGAAAAAGGCCATCAAAATCCTCATTGAGCTGAACAGGTTCAACTTATTCATGAGGGATAAGGGCAAGATCAGGAGAAGCAGGTTGACTCATATAACAATCAATCTCACAGGGGATGATAGTCGATAAATCCAAATATGAGTCGCCCACACCCATAGCCTGTATGAGTGCGCTAGTAAAAGGTATTATCTCCAAAGTGGTAAACTGAACTTCAGAATTCATTGTGTAAAAATGAAAATTAAACACAACTATTTGATGAAGAGAAAAAAAATAAAAACTGGGACAATAAGTTATCAGAAAAGTCGTTAACCATTGAGAAAAACAAATCCACTTCAGAATAATAACAAAATAAAACATGAAGTTGAACAAATTCGAAGAGCACAACAAAAATGTCATGATATGAGTACTGCCAAACGAGAAGTCACATGCATCAAGAGAGTGTGTTGCACTCTTACTGGTGGAGGGTTGTTGCATGATGATTTACATACAAGATGCATTTGATTCAGTTGATTATTAGGTATGTGGAAGCTCAAGGCTTGTGACATTCAAAAAAAACTTTTGCATACAGAAGGCAGCACTGAATGAGAATAGCTATTTATGTGAGTGGAGGTAATGTACTGTACTGGAAAATTTACTTTAAAACTGGTACTATTATATTATTAAGAAGTCAGAATTCCATGTAGTAGCATATAAAATTATTATTCTGCAATATTTTAGGGTAGTTCTAGGTGTTAAAAAGTGCCTTAATTACTGGGTTAACCATTTAGCTCAGTTGAAAACTCCCATCTGGCATATATACAATAAATCTCAGGTTCAATGAAAACACAAAAATTGGATTACCACAGAAAAACTGGCACCCTATTAGTGGTCATACCATGCTCCTGATGTATTGTCAGAAGATGTGCCTTGATTGTGAAAGTGTACTTTGAGTTGTTAAAAAGTGTCTTATCAGCAAATACTAGTGGTTAACTTTTCAGCTCAATTATTAAATCACTCATCTGGCATGCAAGAGGTTATGAATTCAATCCTACTCATGGCAGACACAAAAGTTGGATTGACAAAATGTTAATATATGTATTGATATTGTAATGTTTTTTATGTAAACATTTATCAGATATTTATACATGTACAGATAAGCATTAATTGTTTGACTGATAGATGATGAGGTTTTTAATGAGCTAAACATGTAATCATGCTGCTATTTTGCAGAATTCTTATTTGAGAAAATTCTAAGTTATAAAGTATATATAGAGATGTAAGCTATAAAAGTAAACCTGTTATTAGTAGTAAAAGAATCAGTTCAAGGTGCTAAACTGTTGAGAAAAAAATCAGAGTTCCTTCCAAATAAATGAATTCAGTGTTTAAGAAATAACATACATAAGTTGGACTTAAGTTAACCCTGTGGATATTGGTAAGTAAAAGTGTGCATGTTACAACCGTTTTACAGAATTACCTTAAAAATTTAATTAAACTACTTTACTATCAATGCATGTCAATATACATAGCATCAAAACACAGTTAATGAATCAACTTTTAATATTATACAAGTTTTAATTTTCTAATTTCAAAAGAAAATATTTATATACATTTTCAATCTTCACTTTTCTATATCTTGTGACACTTGTTTGCACTAATTGCACAAATTATATCATCTTTCCACCATATTTGAACTTCTGAGTTTCAATGCAAATTACAAATTTATATTATGATGTTGTTAACACATATTCTAACTTTATAGCCTTCAGTAATCTTGTTTTACTTAGGTATGAACTAGAAAATCAAACCAACTATATGCAACACCCTCCTATCACATACTGTCTTTCAAAAAATGATGTTTGCTATTACATTATTTATATTTAACATGAAGAGAAGAAGTTAATTCACTGATTTATATATTATGCTAACTCATTCTCATGATAGCTTTTGATTTATCAAGCATACAGATTCAAAGTTCAGCATAACCAGTTAAGGGAATTATTTTAACACACCCATAGTTTAGTTAAAAAGCCAGTTAGCTTATAATAGTTATACAACATTGTATGCTTTGCATGTATTAGTTTTCTATGTTTCAAATTAAATATTTAAAATAAATAAAAATTCAGTACAGTACTAACAACAACTATTGAAAATATGAGAGATGACTTTTTATTGACAATTTGAGTCTTAAACTCCAAAAATAGTATAATACCCACATGTAAGAACTAAATTTCTTGTTTTTTATATATATTTTTTATTTATTGTTATAAAAGCAACTACAATATAAAACTATAAACTCATTAGGTTATATAAGAGAACATAAATGAAAAAAAATTAAATAAAAAATAATTAAATTAATTTCTCCTATGAGGTATGCACATGAGAAGTTTGTGCATTACGTAGTTCAAAACTGTAATTTGAGCTATGTGTTTGTTGGGTGATTGGGCGATTTTTAGCTTGTTACATGGGTTTAGTAGTTAGACATGGTTCAAAGAGCAATAAAACAATAAAATTAAATTAACGCTGATGTAAACTGTTATGAACCTGATAAATAATTGTAATTTTCTGTTACAATCTGTAGTCACCCTACAAAGAAAAATGGGTAATTTCAATTTATTTCATATTTTTTGCAGTGGTTACAAGACTGTTCAAATGGATGGAACTTGTAGTGTGTTAAGGTGGGGAAAATAACAGATAAAATATAAAATTTTACCAAAGAAAAACTTTCGATATTCATATAAAAGGTTCTGAAGGTTATGCAAATGAAAACTTTGGGATGAAAAAAGTATTTTTAGCCTTAACAAGAAAATCAACTTGCACTCAGACTAGTCAGACTTCATAAGTTCACAGACAATTATTTAGTAAAATTACTTAACTAAAAACCTGATTTTTGAAATTTACAAAATGCTGATAATGTTGAATAAAAGTTTGCCAAATTTTGTAAAAAAAACACTACATTAAAAGTTACAGTAGGTATAGTTTCATGGTTACATGGTAGTTGCAAGGTTAGTCAAAATTACCAAACCTGTACAGAGAAGATTAATGTATTTATCTTTACATAACTAAAGTAGGCCTAGCTTTGTCTGTTGTACACAGAAAATGAGATGTGTTACAAAAGTATCTTTACTCAAGATATTTCTATGAATTGCCAAAGAAAGGCTGACTCAGACTCCTACAAGTCAGAGTGCAATGTGATATTCATGTGCAAAGTAAAAATACTTTAGTCCACCATATAATTTGTATATTATATTTGCATAACCTCTAGAACCTCTGAAATGCATAGTAGTATCCCTGTATACTGTATCTGGTATTTATCAGCAGTGTTGGGGGAAATGAATAGTTGTTAACTCTGACATCAAATACATAATATCATGTTGAATGGTACTCTGTAAAAGGTCTTTGCAGGTGCACTTTGACCCCCATCCATGCACATAGGGTTAATCATTTTAATTATTGAAACAAAAACTCATTGCTGTATTTAATTCAATAAATGCTTTGAGTAAGAATTATTTATAAATTTTATATTTCTGCAATAAATCAACAATAACTATTTTTTTAATTGGCATGCGAGTCAATAGTGAATTTGTAAAGAACTCCATGATATTATAGCATTCAACAGTACCTCAGGTAATACTATCCATATTTTAAAAAAATGCATGCAATAATGCAAGATAACTTTGAAACTCCAAAATACAAAAGTATGAGCATGCCTTAGGATCTTTAATAAACTTGTCTAGTTTCTTTAACAGCTCTTGAGAAGTACTCTCCATGTTTTCTAGTATTAAGTCCTGGAAATAAGTTGTTCTCCATTGGTTCCACTGGTTTTCCCAGTCTTGAGTCAGCTTCCATATCTGTTCTAGATGATTCAAATCCTAAAATAAAAGATTTAACACATATTTCCAAATTTTCTCCAGTGATTTCTTTCTCTAATCTTGGTGTTAAACACAAAGAATATTGTTAGGCACAGAAAAAATATAGAGATTAATTAAACCAAATGTGTGAATGAATCAAAACCAGTACCTTTTCTAGATTTTCTAGGATTCTTGATGAGGGTATTTCCAACTTGAACAACTGGAGCCCCTCTTTAATATCAGATTCCTTCTCTCTCATTTGTATTACCTGCTGTTGAAAATTAGATATATCAAACAAAGCATCTTGTGAGTTGACACTGATGTTAAGGGGACCTTTCTCATTGAATTCACTCATTAGATATGCTGATTGTTGCTTGAAATCTTCTGCCGACTGAAGAAGACCAGCTTTGAAACGTTCCTATGAAAATAACTTGTTTAATGTGGTATCTCTTATAGGTAAACCTGAAAGTTTTTAACATGTATCTAACTCAGGCTTAATTAACAGTGAAGTTCTTGATTTAAAAAATTCAAAACTTTTTCATTATTATATAATTAATTAAGATTTTGGAATGAAATTTTTACAAAATGTTTTGAATTCATATTTATTCACAATTTGCTCAACTCTAAAAAATAATTTATAAAAGGTATTTTAAACAAAATATGTTACAATTCTTATCCGTCCTTTTACCTTATTGCATATTTTTATATATGTATTATTTTAACCCATACTGTTTCTTATTCCATTTCATAACGCATAATATAGTATAACTATCACTATACTAGGAACACAAATAATTACAGAAGTATAACAAAAATTAAGAAAGAAGCTCAAATGTAAAAGAAAAGATAAATTCAAATATAAAAACAAAGTCAGTTATTTTCATATGAAATATCCAAGCAATTTTTTACTGTTGGCTGTGAAAAATTTTCAGTTTACTTTATTTTTTTTCAGCATCTCTTCTGCTTGTTTCATTGAACCTTCAAAACTGTTCCACTTTTCATCTAATTCTTCTAACATTTTCTGAAACTGTTAAATAGATGTTTATAATTCAGTATTGTGTAGTAATTTCAATCATTTTAAGACCATATTCATAATTTTTAATTTCTGGTTTATCAATTATAAAAAATAATAAAATGCAAAAAATATTTTAACATAGTATTCATGGTTTTTCTTCAATGCAACCCACACTTTATATCTAGTTCTTAAAAAATCTCCTCAAACTGTCTGTTGAATCCTGTTCAGTAATACGTATTTAAGTCAATCATCTAAAACTATTATTCACAGTTTTAATTTCCAGTTTAACTATTATGTGAACATATAAATAATGAAAATATTACTCAAATCTTAATGGAAATTCTTCAAAGTTACCTCACTTTAAACTTAATCTGCTCAACATCTCTCGAAACCATCAGATCAACAATGCTCAATCATTTAAAATTGCTCACAATGTTAAATTCTGGCTTATTTACTGTGAAAGATAAGAAAATTCAATAAGAAACTTTCAATTTGATGCCCATGATGATAACTAATCACTTAATTAATCAGACTACTTTTTTATAATATTAAAATAAAGCACTTTTAAGAAGAAAAGCAATATTTAGGAAAGATATTAAAGAAGTAAATCAAAGCCAAATTTTAGAGGCATCTATAGCCTATAAAATTACCAGACAAAGCAAATTGCAGCTTTTGTATAAATTATATTGTTCTGTTAAAATATTTAGGACTATACCTGTGAAACAATAGTAACGTATACTGACATTAATGTGAGACATATTATTCTACGTCAAGGTAGTTCTTTTAAGTCTCACACTGCTTGTTATTAAGTTCAGTACAATATGAAAATATCTTATATAAAATTCAAAATACTAGTTTTGTATCCAATATGAGTATAACATTTACTTTTTCACTACTTGTAAGAACTCTCTATTGCCATTTCTACACTTTATGATAAACTGGTGCTTTTTGCACAAACATATAATTTTAAGCAAAATAGGGAGAACGTATAACAGATGTTGTAGTACAATCAAATTTTAAACTCAACTCTGTTAAGATGCATGGAATTCAGAATTTGAGGACAAGGATTTTTTAAAATAGCTGTCACTTATATTTTCATAAGTTGTTATATATGGCAGAATCTAATTTGACAAACATTATTATGTCTAACATATTTTCCAGTATAATTAATCCACCATATTACCATGTACCATCAAATTATCTCAAGCAAGAATTATTTGCCATGTTTACTCATGAGCATCTGCATATTCGAAACTTATTTACAGTTTTTTTAAGTACAGTTGTAATAAAAATAGAGAGCCTAAAAGAAACAAAAGTAGCAAATTGTGCTATCATTCTTTATTTTTACTAAAGATGCATGATTATCAAAAAGTCTTAAGACTCAGTTTCATTAAATGTAATAATGAAATCTTTACTTTTGGTTCTACAGAGACTTCATATTTATTCAGGATAACAAATTGCTGGTTGAGAGGTTCGAACTCAGCATGTTTGATTTCCATTTCTTGTTTCAATTGCTCATAAAGAGCAATACTGAATCGTAGATCTTGCAAAGTATCTGGTACCTTTTGCAACCTATAATGAGTAAACAGTTGTTTATGCCAATTTCTTACATAGTTTCTTCCTAAAATTCACAAGCATGCTAAGGTATTATTTTGTATCTTATGTATAACATGTTATCAATATCAATATAACTAACACAATTTCCTTTCATTACTTAAATTTATTGAAGGGTAACTAGTTTTCTTCACAATTAATTTGCAAATAAATAATTTTCACTATTCCTTCTGAGCTTCTATGTATAATTCCTAAAAAAACATTTAAACTGTAATATTAGCAAGTTTGTTATTTCACTTCTTTTTGTATAAAGCTACACAAGAGGCTATCTGTGTTTTGTCTACTGGAGTGATTGAGACTCAGACTTTAGTGTTACAGAATCTCAAGTTTACCACTGAACCACCAGGGGACTATATCAGCAAAGACAGAGGACAATTTTAAGTTAAAGACGATGGGGGGTTAAAGACCAGCTGTTACTTACATAAATATTATAATTTCAATGTAAAAATTAGTTACTGCCTATTTTTAACTAGAATGCATATTCACATCTGGCATAGCAGATAACTTTGACTTGCCTTTGGATTCTAAAACCTTACTGCACACACACTTTATAAATGATGCAACCAGTGTAACTATATATGCATCTGTTGATAAATTTATCTTGTTTTTGTGTTTACTTGGTTCAATAGACAGTTAAGTCATTTGTTGAATCCATTGTAAAACATTTCTTACTGCAAAACAGATGTTCTACAAGGGGAAACAAACATTTACGCTTTTCATGATTAGGTACTGTTAAATTCCTACGAATACCTTTTTAAAAATGTACTGTGTTAAAAGTGTTTTTTCTTTCTTTTCTTTTTTTTGTAAAATACTAATTCTTATTGTTATTGATTGTTACATAGTTTACAAATAAGAAGAAAAGAAAAGCCTAACAAATTACAAAAATTAATAATAAAATTACTATTATGTTTACTTAAATGACATTAAGCTGTGTTTTACTGTGCTAATGTAACTACTCTAGACATCAACTGCAGAGTTGAGCAGAATCAGTGTAACTCTTTTAGCTTCAACAGTGTTAACTAAACACATAGTGATAACTGCTTTATTGATTAACAAAACAAAAATGATACCTTTCACTGTTTGTTGACATAAAACTATGAAGATCTTTCAGCTTGGATAGAGCAAGAGAATGAAGAAGTGATGTAAGTTTCTGTTGCCATGTAACACAATGACCTTGGATGGCAAACTTTAGTGGAGAATTATCCAGCAGAACAAACTTCACTGGCACAACAGTTTCCTCCATTTGAATATTGTTAGAAAATTCAGTATACCTATAGCATTGATAAATACCTGTAATTTCCCCTTTTTTCTTACTTTATGATCTTTTAAACAAGAAATTAAATAAAAACTTTAAACTTTTAAGATTTTTGAATAAAACGTCAGCTGATAGTTTTCCTATGATTTCAGATAATTTTTTAATTTACACACTTGTCCTTCATCATTTACTTTCATTCCATGATCCTACATTTCTACTCATTTTATAAGAATAATTAAGCGTGTGTTAATCATCACATTAAAAATGTTGTAATTATACAATCATATTCTTTATTAACTAATGTTTTTCCCTACTTGCTAATCAACAAAAGCATTTGATAATGGAAGAATGTTTCAGAACTAATTCCCTACTAAACATAATGGGTGTGTGTTTTTGTGTGTGTGTGTGTTGTTTTTTTAGAGCAAAGCCACATTAGGCTATCTGCTGTGTCCACTGCGGGGAATTTAACCCCGGATTTTACCATTGTAAGTCCATCGACTTTCTGCTGTCCCACCAGTGGACTAAACATATTGGACAACAACAACTGCTTTTGCACAAAAAATCCATAACACAAAACTTTAAAAACTAGAAGGAACCTACCTAATATGCATTTCAAAATAATTAAAATAACAATACATTGAACGTCACAGCTAACTTTTATAATCATACTAATAATTACAGAAAATAACTCCAATTTTGAAAAGTACAAGGAACTTCACCAATCTATAAAACATTACAAAAATTTCATATATATTTTAAAACACTGAAATAATAAAAGCTACAGCAATATGTTTTTAAGTTAACTGGAAATATAAGTTACAAATGTGTAACAAACTAAAACACAGAAATATTTTGAAATTATATAAAATCGTTTTTGTCTAGTAAGCCCTTATATTTCTATCATTTAAATAAAAGTTAACATTTTCCAACACTAAGTTTCACTTCCTTGATTTGCATTATCCTTTTTTTGTGCAATTTTTGCTTGGCACTAGCCTTGAAGCTCCAACCTAATTTCATGTGTTTACATGTAGTATAGCTGTATCGTAGCATGCAAAAATCCTCCGTCAATAGAAGAATGACACATCCTCCTAATGCAGAATAACAGGGGAAGTTTGGTGTTAAGATGAGTGGCAAAAGCATCCAGAAAGGGAGTACACAGCTGTGAGCATAACCACTGGAACACCTGCAGATTAAAGGACCATCAAGAGAATCTTGTCAAGATGAGAAAGATGATAAATGACAAGATTCAGGCCATTTGGGATATGATAGGCAATAAGCCAAACTTCTCAAGAGTGGGCCCAGAAAAGGAAACCAAGTTTTTGAAAATAAAGAGAACAAGACCAGAATACCTCCTTGACAATTGACAGAAGTGACAATGGTTGAATAGACCATGAAGAGTTGCCCTCGAACCATAGGAAAGATTTGATCCAATGCCCAATGAACAGCCAAGAGCTCCAAGAGATTGATTTGAAGATCTAATTTGACCACAAACCATTGACCAGCTATCTCCTGAGTGTCCAAATATGCCCCTCCTCATCAGAGATGCATCTGCAATCAGATGAAGATCTAGATGAGGAGGATGAAGAGGAATGCCAGCCGAGATGCTGTCTCTGTCGAGCCACCAGGCAAAATCAATCTGTATGAAAAGGGAAGTTGAATGAAGCAGTCAAGGGATCTCTGAGCAATATTCTATTGATTGTGCAAAGTCCATTTCAGACATCACAAATTAGCACAACCTAAGGAGATAAGGAATTCAATGGAAGCAAGCCCAAGTTCCTAAAAAAGAGAGAACTTTCTGCACAATGAGAGAAGGAGAGGATCTGACATAGGAAACTAATTTCTCCATGTCCCTCAAAAGAAGAGGAGAAGGCTTGGCCCAGCAGAAATGCAAACTGAAAAACACCCAAATGAAAGATATACTGAATGGGTGTGAGGAGAAGAAGATGACTGTAAGTGGCTTGTTTAGACTGATTAAAATGTGAAAATAAGGATCCAAGACATCCACCTTGGTCAACTAAAGACCTGTAACAAAAGATCACACAGTAGGGTAAGAAAAGTCTCCAAGGTAAATCGAGGGAGGTCTTGAAACTAACTAAGACTTGAATATCTATGACCAGATGCCAACCCCCTAATTCCTTGGGAACAATAAAAAGACAGGAATAAAATCCTTGAAAAGGATGAGAAACCCATTTGATAGAGTCTATAGCCATTAAGTCCAATAGTGTAACAGACTAATGAAGGCAAGAAACAATATCCCCTGGAGGAGGGAAAGTAACAGAAACACGGTAGAGTGGAGGAAGAGACGAAAAAAAAGAAAGAAGGGTAAGGCTCTGAAAGAACTCCCAATACCCAACAATCAGCTGCAAATGAAGGGCAAAAGTCTGCAAAGTCCCTGAACCTATAAGACAGCCATACCCAAGACTGACAGTACTGAAGTCTATGAGCAGTGGAAGGACAGGTGGGAACAGAGAAACGGGATGTGGGAATAGGGAAAGAAGAAGTAGCACGACTCTCAGGAGACAGAAAGAGGTAACGAAGGAGTATGGGAGAGAAGGAAAACCAATGACAATAAGGAAGAACACTGGAATGTAGCTCCAAAATGTGACTCCAGTAAAATCACACTAGCAGAGAAAAGGAGTCAGATGAAAGGGAGACAAATTCACTTGAGTAAGAAGAGCATCTCGCCCCAAAACATTCTAGCAACAGAACAACCAAATACGAAGTGAGAAGGCTGAGGAAGATAAATATGTCTCTGTAGAGAAGACAAATGAAACCCCTCAAGGGAATAATGTATTAACATGGATAGAAGGTGAAAGGAGGAAAAATAATGTAAAAAGGTAGAGAGTGAAAGACAAAGGTGGGAAAATTAAGCCTAAGTAAGTTAAACAAAAGACAGAGGATCAGACCCCCCAAGCTTGAAAAAAAGACTCCAGAGTTTAAGAGTATAAGAACAGTATTATAGTCTGATGTTATGCCCATGTATGTGAGGTAATAAAGGAAAGAGAACAAAGCATACATGTACCAAAGCTGGGCAAAAATAATCAACTATGGACTTGCATATCTGGATAGAAAGTAAAAAAAAAAACCATAAAAGTAAGAAACAGGGAATGAAGTGCAAAATGAAGGAAAAAAAAACATACCTGAGAAATTCTGTCTCAGAAGTACAAAAAAGGCTTAGGTAGATTCAATACAGCATGGGTAAGAGCTAAAACTGATAAACATCATAAACCATAAATGAAATCATATTACAAAATATACTAGTACACACCTCCAAATAAAAAAATGTAGGTTATATTTTAATTGTCTTATACCTTGCAATATCTGAATCAAATGACGTAACAGAAAGTTTCAACTGCTGATAGCGTTCAATGAATAAATCTTTATCTATTTCCCACATGTGTCGGAATTTATCCCATGACCTTAAGTACTGCATCATTTCTTCTGCATTTTCTTTTAGTCCATGTTTGATAGAGTTTCTTAACTTTATCACATCAGAATCTTTTCCCACTACTTCATATACTGACTGTAAAGAAAAAAAGATTATAACTTATGGTACTTAATGTAAAATATAAGTTTTGTTTCTACTACAAAATATTGTTTTAATTTCTAACTACCACATTTAATTTTAAACTCAAAATGAAAACTGTTTAACTGAATGAAATATACTTAATTTTTCTTGAAATTACACTTAACAAAAAAATAGCTGACCTATAACAATTCTAAAGAAATTTTTCGTAAAACTGAAATAATTTTGATGTTTTTCAGGAACTTTCCCATAGCACTGATAATTATAATATTTGTGAAACTTAATACCCAATATAACCTAAATGTTACTTACTTCCTTTTGTGATGGCTTCTCTGTAAAAGCATCTATCAATCTGTCAAGACCTTTAACAGAGTCCAGAACTCGTTGAGCAGTTATAACTATTTGTTTATTCAATGATTTGATGTTTGGGAAGAATTCAATCTTTAAAGGAAAAAATAACACTCCATTACAACATCATGTAAAATGAGTTTGATGAAGAAGTATTTTTGATAAATTTACTATTTTCTAATGAAATTCATATCATACCAGAAATGACGTAGGTTTTCTCTCCTTGGTTTTTATACTATGGTAATCTATTCATTTTTCATCCTAAAATTACATTTTAGTCAACATAGCTAAGTAGTAAGAAAAGAAAAATACAATACAGACAGAGCCAATTGTGAGAAGCTTCATGTATAATTTCAATAATTAATACATTATATATCATTAAAGCTAGATATTTAATTCTTTTTCAACAGAGTATAAAACATATTAACTAGTTACAGTACACACTGCTTTATCCCATTTACATTTATATGATGAAAACTTGAAAAAATTAATTTTTTATCCAGTAGAAGCATGTGATGGTCAATTTGGATAAGAAATATTGGATAATATAATTTTTGTTCAGAATTATTTTTCACAGTTCTAGCTATGCCCATCACAAAACTTTGCTTTCAAACATATTTTACTTATTTTTACCTTGATATTTTGAAGTGTCATCATTACTTTCATCAGTGGACTAGGGTCTGATTTAGAATCACCATTTACTGCTTGGGAAAGGGTCTGAAGGGTTCCTTTAATGCTGAAACGCAAGGCTTCTTCCAACAGGTCATCAACTTGTTTGGTGTACTTGAACCAATAAGAATAAACCTGTGCAAGTAAACCAAAAATACCAATATTCTTAAAGCTGGAATTTTTACATTTTTTGTTTAATTAAAATGTATTTCAAACAGGTACTTACCTCAGAAATACTGAAAGCATTTCATTGTTGTTGAGTTTAAAATTTGGGTACTCTGACTTTCTTTATTTCATAAGTAAGTCAACCTTATTTGAATTTGACATTTTTTAGAATTAAAATTAATTTCAATAGTTATTTACCTCTGAAATACCTTCTCCAAAATTTAATTATGACTACAACTTTCAATAAAACTTAAATCATGGTGGGAGAATGGAGCTTATGTAACATCCCCTGATGCTTGCATAATAAGTCACGTGGAAGATGGGACAGTGGAAAATTATGGGAACTGATGCATGTTTTTCATTTGGAAATATTTTTTTCACATGTTTTGTTGATAATATGAGATCCATACAATTCCTATAATATAGCTTTGATATATGGAAACAGATTTTAAAATATAACATTCATAAATGGAAACATCGGTTCATGTAGATACATAGATCTTGAAAGTCGAGTTGTTCAAAACTTGAAAATAGCATTGATAACTGGACCGATTGTTGGTTGAGATGTTGCAAAAGCAATATCTGTTGAAGCTTTTCGGCAGACACTAATCATTGCAGAACCATCTGGAACATGATCTAAAGGAAATATTACAGCTTATAAAATGAGTCAGATCAACATAAGTCGGTAAAGCAATCACTGACTGGCATGATATTTATGACAGGATTAGGCCCTCAGGCTCACAACATCCCTGCATGTATGGCCTTCCTAAAACACACAAAAAGGATGAACCAGTCCACCCAATTTTGTCTATGATTGGCTCTGCACAACATGAATTAGCGAAGTGGCTATTGGAAATTTTAGAACAGGTGTTAACATACTTTTCGGAAAACTGTGTTCAAGATTCCTTTTGATTTGCTACAACCATACAGAACCTTAGCCTTGACCCTAAACAATCGTTTTTGTGTTCCTTTGACATCAGCAGCCTGTTTACTAATGCACCCCTGGAAGAAACCATCAAAATTTGTGCAGATACTTTGTATGTTGGAGAAGTTCAAATGCTCTCCAATACCTAAGGACCCGTTATGGAATTGATGAATACTACAACACGTTCGGTAGAATTCAGCTTTAATGATATCATGTATCAATGGATTGATGGAGTCACCATGGGTTCTCCTCTTGGACCTGCCCTAGCCAATATTTTTATTGGTTTACATGAAAAAGAACTATTTAACAAAGTTACCAGACCTGCTGTTTACTTCCGCTATGTAGATGACACATTTGCCATCTTTAAAACTGAAAAGGAATGTGAGTGTTTCTTACAAGACCTCAACTCATTGCACTCAGCTCTCAAATTTACTTTTGAAAAGGAACAACATAACTCTTTATCATTACTAGATGTTTTAGATGAAAAAGATGACTTTCATTTTCTCACCAGTATATACAGAAAACCTACCTTTACAAGACAATACACACGATGGCATACTTTCAGTCTCAAAAGTTGCAAAACGAATCTCATTGCTACTTTAGTCCATCATGCTCTAGTTATCTGTTCAAAATCTAAACTAGATTTTGATTTGAAGACAATTAAAACTATTTTACTAGAAAATGGGTATCCAGAAAATGTCATCAATCAAATTTCATCAAGGAAAATTGTGAGCTTCTCATCTGATCCAAAATTTGATCCTAACAAGTGCCCTGTTTATCTAAAACTATCATGGATTGGTAACATTTAAACAAAATCTGAAAAACAATTGAAAAAGGCCATTACTAAATGTTTTCGTGCAGTGAACCCCTAGTGTGCTTATTCCACACGTAAGTTCTTGCCTGCAACACACAAAGATACGATACCTACCACACAGAAAAGTATGGTTATTTATGAATTCTTGTGCCACCGCGAATGTCGGTACATAGGTTGCACTTCACAAAGATTGCATTTACCATGTCACTCCTGTAAAACAAAAGTTCTACCACCAAAATGTGAATCAGCGATTGGCCAGCATTTACTAGTGAGCCCAACTTGTGCTGACAACTACATGGATAGCATGTTTGAAATTATTACAAATGGTCAGTCGAACTTTCATCTCTCTATTTTGGAAGCCACCTTTATTAAAATATATAAACCTGTACTATGCCTACAAAAAGAATTCCTATACAATCTACACATTCTTCAGTAGGTCTGTGACATTTCCTGATTGGCTAAAGGACACGCCAATCAGTGATTGCTTTACCGGTTATGTCGATATGACTCATTTTATAAGCTGTACTATTTCCTATAGATCATTTTCCAGACAGTTCTGCTATGATTAGTGTCTGGCAAAAAGCTTCACCAGATATTTCTTTTGCAACATCTCAACCAACAATTGATCCAGTTATCAACACTATTTTCAAGTTTTAAACAACTCGACTTTCAAGATCTATGTATCTATAAGAGCCCATGTGTCCATTTATGAACGTTATATTTTAAGATCTGTGCAAGAACTCAGCCAACAGATGTTTCCGTATATCAAAGCTATCTTCAAGTTTAGTACAACAAAAAACCTTTTCAAATAATTCCTATAAATAGTGCTCACTTTACACACTGTCAGTTGAACCTTGCTCCTTCATGAAGTCAATCCTGTTGTCTTTGGAATTTCACCTACTACTCTCCATTACCTTCAAATGAGACTCATTTGTAAGTTTTCCATTGTAGGTTCACCTTGTCTTCCACTTCCTCTGGGTCTAGATCTTTTCACTGATACCTCTTTCCAGAGCTAGGATGTTTTGAGGAGTCTGTGGTGTTATCAGATATCCCATTCTCACATTATTCTGTTAAATAAGAATTTCAGGAGTTTCTGCACTGGTTACACCATTGCTGTAAATTAGTACTCACAAATACTTCAATTTGGAAGCATATATCAGTATTAAGTGTGGGACTTGATCTCGCAACATCTGTTTGCTCAAGTTTCTCTCTTTTTTTGGCTTTATTCACATAATGTATTTTTCTAAGCTAATTTTTCATTGGTTCTGCCAGTGGTTTGTTCATCCTATGACTGATGCATTCATGATGTCAGTGCATCATTTTCTGATGCTTTAATGCTTTCCTCTTCTGGTAAATGCTTTGAGCCCAGCTTGAGAGAACTTTTCCTATATGCCTACCCTTTTCTTCATCTTCCTTCTTAGGTATTGGTCAAGATCAGTTGGCCTCACTGTTTAGTTCTTCTTACTGCCCCATGTTGGCCTGTTGCACTATGGTTTTCACTCCTCTCACCCAGATCAGAAAGACCTATTCCATTACTTTTTTGGTAATTCTTTCACAATGTTTGTTGTCCTCAGCTTCACAGCTAGTTATATTATGCAGTATTTTGTTAGGAAAGATAGCTTTTCTTTTTGGATAGCTCAAGTGTTGTCATATTCTTGCAGACATTCTATCTTGTCAGTTGATGCCTGAGAAGTTGGGTATATTGTATTTCTCCAATGCACTGATAGTTTTTATGTAGCTCTTTCTATTGCAAACTACAGAGCTGCACTCTCAGTCACTTTCAATGCCACAGAAGTTATATGCCTCTTTCAACCTCAACGTTTTCAAGGTCTTTAATTGAGGTTTTTAATGATATCTCTAATAATATCTACACATTGTTCTCAGTGCAATTTAAACCTGGCTTCACCTTTATAACCTTTGACAACTTGTTAACTCTACTATCTTCCCTGAAGTTATATCTTGTTTTGCTACTAGCTTCAGGGAGGAGACTCTCAGATTTTTTTTGCCACTGATGTTTCTCATACTCTTTTTTTTTTCAGGGAAATTCTATATTTGTAACCTGTTAAAGCCTTCCTACCTGAGACTTAGGTTGTAAGAGTTGGTCAAAACTATTTTATGTCCTATAGATTTACCTACTCCAATGAACATTTTATATGCCTGATCAGTACTGTTTGTTCCTATCTTACAAGAATAGAATTTTTTCAAGGGAATCAATGTTGGTTATTTATGTTTTATGATGATTCTTTTTCCATGGATCTTGCTCCAGCCACATTAACTAATTAGTTTCTGCATCTGATTTGCTTTTCTCATCATGAAGTCCCTGACAACCTTAATAGTGAATCTCAGGTTACATCTCATCACTTTTACCAGTTGATGATGTCTTTCAATTCCTGTTCTCTGTAGTGGACATCTTATAGGTTGGCATAGAGATAAATCTTTATATATTTTGTTGATATTTAACCTTCTTTACAGCACTGTATCTTTAGTTTCAGGATTCTGCTTGCTGCCTGTGGTTATTCTTCAAGCTTGATTTTTGTACATTCTGCCCAATATCCATTGTTAACTATTTCCAGGATTTACAAGATTGTGAATAATTTTGACATCAAAAGAACAGTATTAAACAAGAAAGATACAACAATTAAACACCGTCTCTTCTTATGTATGAAGAATCTGTATTTATCTCAATTTGTCCACTCAGGACTCTTGCATGTCATTTAACCTCCTGTGCTTGCCCAACACTTCATTCACAAATCTAAAGGCATCTGAGGTTGAAAAATTATCTAATTATATATACATATATATAGATACACAAAACAAACCATGGCCTCTCCTTATGTGAGACACTATATATAAGGATTTATTCAGTCAGGGTTCTTGCATGTTGCATATACCTATGTATTTATCCTAGACAAAACTCCATCCTGTATGTTGGAGTTCTATGAGAGGATGTTGCCTTTCAGAATTGGACAGAAGGAGCCACCTAATGGTTGATGATGCCTTGGCAGGAACCTCTCCCACCTTCACATGCATATCCTTGTGTGGCATTAGAAATGCTGGAAATGAGGCTACCATTATCAATAGATGTCTCAGCTACAAACAACTATTTTTTTATGTTTTGTGTTCCCATCGAACTGTACTCATATAATTGAGGTTGTTTTTAGGGACTCCTTGAGTATTTTTTGGATTCTCCCTAACACCCACTAATTTTGTCAGTTATGTGATCCACTGGCC